TGTGTCCTGTTTCTGTGTCCAGGCTGTGGTCACTGAGCCTGTCCTCTCTGACACCCAGGTCTACCCTGTGTACTGTTTCTGTGTCCAGGCTGTGCTCACTGCATCAGATCATACCTGCAGTATGACCTAGATGTGCACCTTTTTTTAAATTCCATTTGGCTCTCCGTTTGGGGTTACCTGCTCCTGATTTAGGAAGTACACACATCACTGGATATAAACAATGTTTACGGATGGAATAAGAGTCAGAACGGAATGAAACGTCAGACATCTGACCAGATTTGGACATGATGCCCTTAACTTGCTTACTCTTCCCCCCCGCTATGCGTCATCAGGTATCGATCAGTGCAATCTGATCGATACAAAGCGCGTTTTGCGAAAGGCGACTGGCGGTTGCTCTCGGGCCGGGCCCCGCGGTCTGAGACGCAGGTCTGTGTTGTCTCCGCAGAGGAGAGCCCGTTCTTCGACAACGACATGCCCACCATGCGGAGCAGCGGCAGCAGCAGCGAGGGGATCCCGGGCCTGCTTGGGCTCAGCCGGGACGGCTCCCTGGAGAGCAACGAGGTAGGCCAAGCGGGCCCTGCGACTACGAGATGCGCTTCCAGACTCGACTCTGGGCAAAGGGGTTCTGTCGATCATTGACACAAAGCTCACGAAATGCGTTCGGTTTAGACTTGAGGAACCTTCGTTCCTTCTTGATCACGTTCTCCTGTGGTTGACTCAGCGGGTGTTTGAAACGTTGTCAATGGTCAGCAGGTGAAGCCAACTGCCTGCCCTCGAGACTGCAGGCCTCAGGTCCTTTACTCACATCCCCACCAGCACCAGGTTTCTTTAGGTGGGTGTTAGCAAAGCGATCTCTTGATAAAGCAAAGTGCGTCTACTGTTTTGTGACGACTGTGACCGTGGCTGCTGTGGTGGGTTTGTGCGAGGGAACAAGCAGAAGAGAATGCAATAGTACTTCACTCTGGTTGGCTTGTCCCAGGAGGCCCTCTGCAGGGCCCGCGGTGCGGACGGCGGTATGGGATTGTGCCGTTGCTGTTCTGACCCAAACCTTCTCTTCTCTCAGGACTCCGATCGGGCCAAGAAGAGCTCCACTCGCCGGCTCAGCAAGGGCCACGACAAAAACAAGAGCCGCAGCAGCAGCAGTGAGAGCCCGCGGCCCGCCGGCGCCGGGAACTGTGGACCGGGCGTCCCGGCCAGCCAAGCTCCGGCCTACACGGGACCCAAGGCATGTGTCGTGTGTTCGGACAGCGGCTTCGACAGCGTGTACGCTCCGATGCCCGGGCTACGTCCAGGCTTCAATCTGATGGCCAGTCGTAGGTTACAAACTGAGCTGCCCGACTGGCAGGCTGGAGGCCCAAGTCACTTTAATGGACGTTGAAATCAAGGGCACTCACTTCATGCTTTTAAAGGTATTCAGATGATGCACAAGGTTCAGCCCTGGGCTTAGGATAACATACAGGGTGTTTTAAATACAGGTGGTTGAGAGACAAAACCAAGGAAGAAAATAGCATTTAAAACGCTGGGGCTCCTGTGTGGCTCGGCCAGTAAATGCCCTTGCTCTGAATGTAGGCTTAGCTCTGTGGCCCAGATGTTGCTGGTATGAGCCTGAGTCACGTCGCTGGCCCGTTATGACTGGGATTGCCCAAGGGGTGCCGGCATTAATCACTGTGAAAGCCATACACAGGACCTTCCTAGAATGCAACAGTGACAGTCGTTCAGTTTTATTACCTTGTGCATCTGCATGAATTTATTCACAGAAATTAAACACTTTTTTGTTTTGTTATTGTTGTGATGCTTTGTTTTACGTCAATATGGATTTGCTTGTTATTGTAAGAATGCCAGGTACATAATTGGTTAGAACTAGGTTAGATGGTGGATTTTCTTTGTGAGTCACAGGAGGAAGGCGTGGTTCACCTGTGCAGTAGCCCGGGGGACAACCGGTTTCAGGATGGGGGCAGGGCTCTCATCTTGTTCCATTTCTCGTTTGCATGGTTCCGTCTCAGGACCTGGCCGAGTTCCTGGAGCAGTTCGGCTTCTCCCGATACCTCCCCCTGCTGGAGGAGCAGGACATCGACCTGCGCATCTTCCTCACCCTCACTGAGAACGACCTGAAGGAAGTGGGCATCACGTGAGTGTGCTCCCACTGGCCCTCCCTCACCACACCCCACGGGGAGAGAGATCGGGCCCACCGCTGTGGACGATTGCCTCCCGGTTCAGGGTTGACATTCTCTCAGGCTCTTCTTCGTGCAGGAACCCCAATGCCAAAAACGTGCACCGACAGGCTTGTGAAATTAGAATGTCTACCTTTTCTAATGTCAGCAGTTTGTCCAGTAGTCGGCGTTTGGTCAACCTAAAACGATTCTGCTGACACTGCTGAGCACTGGCAGTATTGATTCTCTGCCTGACTCGCTCCGCCTGACAATTGCTTTCCCAGGCTAATGAAATCATTGGTATGCGTCTTCAGGGAAACATCAGTGCTGGCATTTGTAGTCGTCTTGTCTGGAGACAAAAGAGGTGCACTGATGGACAAGAACACACTGAAAGGGGAAGGGTGTGACGCAGGCTGTAAGATAGTTACTGACAGACTTGGATATCACATGTTATGAGAACAGGGTGTCTTAATTAGATTCCTGCTTTAAACCGTCAAACAGGCTTATCTGTCAGACTCCACAAGTCCGCAGCTGGCCGTGCTCTCAGGGAGGGGGGCTGGGGGGAGGTCCTGGGCACTGGGATTGGCTGATAAACCCTCCTCCCTCCCAGGCTGTTTGGGCCCAAGAGGAAGATGACGTCGGCGATCGCGCGATGGCACAGCAGCGCCCCGCCCCCCAGCGATGCCCTGGAGCAGGCGTACGCCGACCAGCTGGAGGCCGAAATGCAGGAGATGGCCATCCAGCTGCACAAGGTGAGGGCGGGGCCGCAGCCCTCCCGCCCACGCAGTCGCGGCCACCGCGATGTGTAAAACACCCTCGTGGTGGCCTGATCGCGGAGCCGCAAGCAAAGAGAACCGAGGGCGGCTTATAGCTGTGCAGATTTTTAAAAAATCTCTTTGACCTTAAAATGTTCAAAAAGGCAATGCAGTCGTGACACTATTGTAGCTGCTGGGGCATGAGCCAGCAGCCATATCACCCTGCAACTCACAACTGGCAGCCCACTGAAGGTCAGCAGGTGTGAGCCTGGTCAGTACCTGGATGGGAGACCTCCTGGGAAAAACTAAGGTTGCTGCTGGAAGAGGTGTTACTGGGGCCAGCAGGGGGCGCTAACCCTGCGGCTCATGTGGGTCCTAATGCCCCAGTGTAGTGACGGGGACACTATACTGTAAACAGGCGCCGTCCTTCAGATGAGACGTAAAACCGAGGTCCTGACTCTCTGTGGTCATTAAAAATCCCAGGGCGTTTCTGGAAAAGAGTAGGGGTGTAACCCCGGCGTCCTGGCCAAAGTTCCCATCGGCCTTTATCAATCATGGCCTCCGTACAATCCCCCTCTATAAATTGGCTAAATTACTCTGCTCTGCGCTGATGTGTGGTGAGCGTTCTGGCGCACTATGGCTGCCGTCGCATCATCCAGGTGGGGCTGCACACTGGTGGTGGAGGGGAGTCCCCATTGCCTGTAAAGCGCTTTGAGTGGAGTGTCCAGGAAAGCGCTATATAAATGTAAGCAATTATTATTATTATTATGAGTTTAGCCTGGTTGAGAATGTAATTGTACACTGAGTGCTGCTTCCCGGTGGCCATGCAGGACCAGAAAATCTGTTTTTAGTTTCTTCTGTATTATGAATGCTCTTGGTTGGCTTGGTTCTACTTGGCTACTAGTTGCAGCAACTAAAGCTTGAGTGATGACTATGGCAGAAAACACTGTCTGTTTCTCTGTGCCCCCGGCAGAAGTGCGAGGAGCTGCAGCTGCTGCAGGGCCAGGTGTCCCAGGAGCGGGAGCTGCGCACTGTGATGGAGAGCTGCCTGATGGACGACAAGATGGCTTGGAGGAGAGTTCACAAGGAGCTGCTGGACACTCGCGAGCTGATCCAGGAGACCGGGAGAGCCCTGCAGAAAGTGCAGTGAGTCTCGGGATTCGCCGGATTTCCCATTAGGCACTGGAGGCACAGTGCCTAGGGCCTACGAAGGAGGGAAACGCTAGCGACTAACGAAAAACGAGCTGAAACAACACGCCTTCAATCGACTCTAGGTGCTCCAAATCAATAATCATACCCCCTACCTAGCGGCTGTTCTAGAAACCAGAAGGATCGAAGTGATGGTCCCTTGACTCGCTCCATCAATCACATGGTTTAGCATGAGAATAGTTTAAAGCGCATCGTGTCAATTGACGTCATTCAACTGGCCTTTACCCCTCGTTTTGCACATTTCGGAGTGAAATCCCGCCCTGGTGAGTCTGGGACCTGGTGCCGACCCAGCAGCAGGAGAGACGGGGTGCAGGACGGGGGAAGAATTTGGGGGTGGCTAAAACGGGGGCAAACCGGTGGGACTATCATCAATTCACCGCAGCAGAGCCAGCCCAGCCTTCCACCTGAGGGGTGTGAAGACAGATGTGCAAGACCAAGAAGAGATGTTTCGTGGGGGGGAGTTAAATCTAGAGAGGAAGAAGAGAGAAAAGGCCCAAGTGTGGCCCGTTGCTGTGAGCTGTTGAGTGACAGTTGTTGAACCCTGGTGTCTGGCAGGGCCGGCGAGGCGGAGCTCGTCTCCCGACTGCGGACGGACAGCGTCATCGGGCGCTGCCTGGAAGGCCGCGCGAGAGCGAGGGTGGAGACGGGAGGTAAAGGCAAGTGAACCTGCTCATCCTTGCACCACAGGACCCCACAAACCCCAGCTCCGTTCTGAACGCCACGAGCCAATCCGTAATACCTACTGCCAGGCAGCAGATTCACACAGCCTCATTTTTACTGGTACTGTGCACGGGAGATCCTCCGAACTAGAAACAGAAATACTGGAGTATGTTTCATTCGGGTGCTAGCTGCAGATGCTTGTTCGTCATGCCTGAAGCTTCTTGAGTCTGCTCAAGGAAAGGTGGCTATCGCATGTGTAGCCAGCAATTCCCAAAGTAGACTGGCCCAAAGGCAGATTGAGAACACTTATCGCACAATTCATTAGTACTCCACTCACAGCGAGCACACATTGCCCACGCAGGCTGCTGACACTGCGTGTTTTGCAGGCGGCGATGTATGCAAGGAGGGCCTGAAGTCTCTCAGCCTGTCGGAGCTCACTGCCAAACTGGAAGCCTATCACGATGAGATGGGTAAGAGTCTGAGAGGACTGCCGGAGAAGGTTCTGGAATAGGCGTTTTCGAAGGAGAGAAAACATTCCCTTCCACTGCTGTACCTTGCCAATGGGTGAACTGTTTCAAACCCAGGCAGGGGTGGAGAATAGCTGTGTTTAGGAGCCTGCAGCTGTCTCATTGCCTGTCTGTGCCATTTCTCCTTTCTAGGGAGAACAATGCGCATGATATCCGAAGGCCTGGAGAGACTGACTGAAACAGAGAAGGCCTGGGCACACTCCTAGCCTAGGCTGGTGAGTATCCAACCTGAACACTTCTCTCCTGGCTCAAGCCTGTTTCTTTCACAAAGCCCTTCAAGACACAAGAGAAGTTGACTTTTTCCTCTACCTAAGGAACACCCACCTCCCTCTCAGCTCTTCCTGAAAGTAAACTTGATACTGACCACCCTGTCTGTCTTCTGGCTGTTGTTTCAGTTGTGTTCATGATGGCCATTCCTGACGGAGGGTGACTGTGCCACCCTAGACAAGCTGGGACAGGGCGAGGGGTTCGCCAGCGATCAGACAAGCGGGCAGGAGGGCAGACGCCCCCAGATGCCTGTGCTCCTGACACGAATAGGCCGGGACACGAAAGAGGCCACGTCAGGCAGGAGGAGAGGGCAGCCGAACGAGCATCGGAGCGAATACGAATCTGTCTGAAGAAATCCCGTGAGGCAGTGTTCTTCGTTTTCAAATCGCAGAAACAGCCTTTTGCTACAAATGAAATCCATCAGAGCAGGAACCTGTGAGCACACTCATAAAGTTTCGGGTTCGAACAAGACCGAAGGCCACCGGATATAAGAAAATACAAGATTGTGGGGCCTCCCACCTGGCCCAACTGGGAAGGGCACTCGGCTGAGTGCGGGATGAGCTTGAAGGTTACGGGTTCGAGGCTGGGCCATGTCATTGGCCCACTGTGAACAGGATTCCCCAGGTGGCTCAGCTGAGCCCTGCTGGGGGTAGGATTATTTAGCGAGGGCTGTCTCGGCTCTCAGCTCAGGGGGGAGGTTGAGTGATCCCCCCCCCTGCTGAAAGATAAGCACACAACCGGCTCTTCCAAAGTCGGTGGGTTTCACAAAAAAAATGCAAAAATGACAATGCTAAAATTATTTTTTACTTTATTTTATTATTTTAAATTTAAACAATTTAGCAATTCATCGTTAAAAGTGCTGGACAATGGTCCATATTCTCCTTTGTGCTTAGGGAAATGGGATGTGGGACTTTTTTTAAATCTTGTTGGAACAAAAGAAACTGACTATTCTTACCAAATGATATCCCAGTCTTTCCACGATTCTCTCGCAGACCGAAACTACTTTTGTTGGGTGGAAGTGGATATTTCACCGCGAACACTTCTCTAGGTCACATTGTTCATGGCTCTGCTCTTGGTTATCAGGGAGTTGTGGGGTGGGTTCAAGGGCCAGTATTAAATTAACCTCACGAAGGGAATCCAGTGCTCGTGGGAAATTCTGGAGGGTCCAGAAGTCCACAGGGATACAGCAGCGACTGCTGCAGGTCTGCACTGATATACTCATCCTGAGAGAGGCCTCTGTGGACCAGAAACAGTTTAACCTGCAACCAAAAGAAGACTTTTAAACACCTCTGCAGCAAGTAATAGGATCCCTTCACCTTTTTTTTTTTTACTCTGTTGCTTCATTTAAATCATTCAGTGCATGACCTGAAAATCTTCAAGCAGATACCTCAGTTCGCCTTAGATCTTACTCTTTCAGTCCGACGATTGTGATTGCTTTCCGTGTATTGGTTTTTCTGTACAAAAGCCAAATATCTGTTGTAGCTGATTAAAAACCAAACATTTCTACAATTTAGTGTTGCATTGGTTGTCTTTCATGCACATCAGCTTGAGTAGTGTCTCTTTAAACCCTGTATGTTGAGGTATCTCACTGTATTTTATTGTAAAATTGACAAAGGTGGCAATGCCTGAACCAAGCCTTAACTAACCAAGGGCTGGCTGACATGCTGCCTGCTAAAATAAAAAAACCCATAAGTTGTATAAACTCCCTAGCAGCACAATTATGTTAATTGATAAATGTATTTTTTTTTAATGAGTGCTCAACAAGGTCTGAGAAAGCAATCGCTACAGTATTAACTATAGACACCCTTTTCACTTCAGTCATTTTCAGCAATACCTTTCAGAAACACTTCAAAGGGAAAAATACATGCAAATCTAGTGGCTCCGGGCGTTTTAAGCAGAAAAAAACTGGGTCCTTTATTTCATGATATTGGCTTCTGCAGCCAGTTCCACTGGAGTTCTTAACCTGTTCAGGGACAGTAAGAACTGTCCAACTGTTCTCTCTGCTGTCCCTTTAACTGTTGAAACACTTTACTTTCCCATTTTTATCTATTCCCTCTGTAAATATTTACTTTATTCTAATTCCAGCTGTATCACATTGAACCCTCTAGTCTCTGGGCAACTTATTTAAATGGTAAAATAAGATTAAAACACAAAAGGCACTTTTACATTTTTAGGCAGCAATTGTAGAGCATGGAGAGCCAACCTCCTAGTTCAGTGTTTTCTTGTGGTAATAACAGAAATGGAAAAGGTATAGGTTCATATATTGTTCGTCCATATTGGTAGTCTATTTCTACCAATTATTCTGCACAAAATTGGTAGAAATAGACTTATACAGTAATGTCAATGCAGGTCACACATGGTTTTGAGCAACTAACACTGTTGCAAAGCTGATACATTGCAAAAGGTGTTCTATGCTCACAGATGTTTAAATAGCTACACAAAAGATTTACCATAGTATTAATGTGGCCATATTGAATCCTGCAGAATTGTGATAGAGCAGAAACCATTTTAAAGCATTCATGTTTTTTCTAGTCTTTCAATGAGAGAGGGGAAATGCACCTCCTTTTTAAGAATTGTGCTGCGGGAAACCACAATGGGCAGTAATCAGAAATCCAGATAACCAAGGCAGGCAAAATGAAATATCGGAGAGCTGGAAGGTGAGAAAGGATGTGTGAAATGCTTTTCTTCTTGTAATTATGCTGTAAAACATGACATATCTGTCAACCATTGCCCTACATGGGACAGATGCAACATTTGTTAAAAGGGAGATAATGACGCTCCTGTTTGCAGCTTATTTGCCTTCTCATTGCTAACCAGTGCCACTGGCAACACCAGCAGCAGAGTGAACCCTGAAGCGTAAACGTAAATGTTTTTTTTGTTTTTTAATGCTCTTGTTCTGTTGCTATTTCTTTTTAACCACCGCAAAGGATGTTTACAGAGTTTTGGCTCCAAAACCAACAGAACGGGCTTACTTCAGGGTTAATCTATAAATAGCTCGGTTCCAGCAATCTGTTGGAGCCAGGTTTTGGAGAGAAGGCAGGTCTTTATCTGCTTCTGCTTGTCTTGGCACCTGGGGTGACTAAGCACAAACAAAGAAGCTTGATTAGGGACGAGGGAACAGAGCAGGGCCGTCACACTGCATCTCTGCTCTTCTGAGCCCTGCGCATGGCCAGGCTGGGTCTCCTGCCTTCCTAATTTTAAAAAAAGATTCTTAGTTTACAATTCCCCCTGCAGAAAGGGATTAAGATCTAGCAGCAAAAGCCTGCCTGGTTGACTTACCCAGCCCTACCACGTCTGACTAAGCACCCCATAAATACTGTGGACCTGGATGATCATCAGCTATACAAGGCCCAACTGCCTGGAACTGTTTGTTTGTTTCTGCTGTTTCGTGCGCAGTTTGTATTCACTCTTTAGTCAAGGGTCTGCAACAGAGCCACAGGTTCTTCTTATTTTTGTTCCAGGTAAATTACTTAATTGAACCAATATGTTGCTTAACTGGGAGGTGTAATAACTTGCTTTCCCATAAAACCCTCACGACTAGAACTTCTGCTCTGCGGGATCAGGGTGGCAAAGCCCTGTGTCAAGCCATTCACTGTTTTAATATGGGTTTGTCTGCGTTTAATTACAAAGGAGACCCTGAACACCTTGATGAATCTCTAGGTTGGACCAAATTTCCCCCCACCCCTTATTCTCTCTGTTCACCCCTCTTAACAGTTTTGGAAGTGTTCACTGCTGACATCCCGCAGGTCAATGCCTGCGAAACTGGACGGGCTGCTGCAGGTGATGTTGTTGAAGACTTGGACGACCATGTGAGGCTCCTCTCCTTCAGCCAGGGTCTCCACCTGACGGGGGACAACTTGCGGTTTGCTCAAGCTGTAATCCCTAAGGTGTCTGGAGGTGCAGTCACAATTCCAGTTGTTTCCAGTTAGCCATAACTGCTCCAAGGTGGCGGGAATGTCCGAGGGGAAGCTGCTGAGGGCGTTGTCCTTGAGGTTAAGATACCGAAGCCTGGGCAGGAGCTGCAGGGTACCGTTCTGGAGGTGTTCTACCTTGTTGGAAGACAGATCCAGCCAGGAGAGCCGCTGTAGGGGTATGAAAATCTCTGCAGGGACTTGCTGTATTAGATTGCCAGCCAGCAGAAGGTAATCCAGGTTTTTTAAGCCATTGAGCATGTGAGAGGACAGAGACTCCAGCTTGTTAAACCGGAGATCCAGCTGCTGAAGTGCAGGGAGTTCCAGGAAGCTATGTCGCTCTATCAGGGAGATATTGTTGTACTGGAGAAAGAGTCGCTTGAGTCCCATCAGTCCAGACAGAGCCTGAGTTGAGATTCTGGTGAGGCAACCTTTATCCAAGTGGAGGCTGTGGAGCTTAGACAAGCCCTTGAAGACGTGATCCGGGAGGTTCTTGAAGCAGCTGCCTGACAGATTTATAACTGCCAGGTGGGGAAGGCCGAGGAAAGTGCCCATGCGAGCTTCCTGAATCTGGTTATGCTCCAGCTCCAAAACCTCCAGGTGATTCAGCCCCTCAAAAATCCGCTCCCCAAGGGCTTTGATTTTGTTGTAGCTCAGTCGCAGCTCCTCCAGGTACTGCAGGTCCCGGAAGCTGCGAGGACGCAGGTTGCTGATGGAGTTGTTGGATAGTCGGAGAACGTGGAGGCTATGTAGGCCCAGGAACGTCTCCTCATGGACACTAGACAGCCGGTTGTTGGTGAGATCTAGCCAGCGGAGGGACTTCATACCCATGAAAGCCCGGGGTGCCACAGTGTGAATCTGATTTTGGGCTAGATAGAGCTTCTGGAGCTTCTGCAGCTTCAAAAATACGTTCGCCTTGATCACCTTCAGGGAGTTGCCTGTGAGGTCTAATTCTTTGAGCTCAGTAAGGCCCTGAAAGAGCTGGGGCTGCAGGTATGCCAGCCTGTTGCCAGCCAGAATCAGCTCCCTCAGGCCCAGCAGGTCCTGGAAGCTGTTCTCTGGAAGCACCACCAAGGCGTTCCAGCCCAGATTGAGGAGCCAAACGCTGGCCAACCCAGAGAACAGTCCCTCCTCGATCCTCAGCAGCTGGTTGTTCTGCAGACTGAGGGAGGCCAGGTGTGGAACGCTCTGAAAGACCGCGGCAGGCAGGGAACGCAGCTGGTTGCGCTCCAGGTGCAGGTGGGCCAGGGACCGGAGCCCACGAAAGGCGTGGGGGTCAATGCTGGTCAGCTGACCGCTCTGCAGGTTGAGGAAGTCCAGCCCCGGCAGGCCTTTGATGGCAGAGGCTGGGAGGGAAGTGAAGAGGTTGCCGTCCAGCCACAGAGAGTGAGTGGAGGAGGGGATGTCGGACGGGACGTGCGTCAGGTTGCGAGAGCTGCAGTAGACATTGAGCTCGGAGCTGTAGTCATCGAGCAGGCAGGTGCAGCCCTTAGAACAGGGCATGGGCTGCTCAGAGGGCTTCTCTCCTATTTCTTGAGCCGGCTCCGTAGTCACAGCCAACACGCCCAGCACAGAGCCCACGATCAGCACAGAGGTGTACATTACCACTGAGGGAAGAGGGCAAAGACCAGTCTCACATTCCTTCCCTTTCCACACCATTTTGAAACATCCAATGAATATGTCCGATTTTCTATATACCATATGACATTTACTGTACGTTACCGTCCTCAAATTTTACTTGCAGTAAAAATTATGTTAAGCTGGCTCTTGACAAAGCTGGTCTTATCAGTTAGGCAGTAGAAAAAGGGGCCGAGGAGAAATATATTTCCAAGTCTATTTGGGATTAATGAAACATCATGCGGGTACATTGGAGTGTGGCCGTCCACCCGCAACCAGAATTTTTAGTCATTATATTGAAACCCGCTCTTGGAGCAGAATACACCAGCAAAGTAGCCACTGCGCTGGGTTGTCAGAGCACTGCCTACTACTGGTGTGGAGGGCTGCAGGTAAGAGAACAAGCGATCCCTTTTCAACATTACTCATTACACTCATGTTGAAAAGCACTACAGAGAGTTTAACAATTATTGTAACAAGGTTGTCAGAATATTGACTGGCATACCTACATTGCAATATTGGGATTCTATAGACTGCTCGTAATGAGTTATCCAAGGGAACTTGTTTGAAAAAAAATCCACCTTACCTGCAGTTCCTGTAGTCTTGTCTAGACTCGGCCAGACAACCTCTTGCAGGACTGACAGTCTGTGTGTCTGTACACAGCCCGAGCTGTTCCTCTCTCCTATCCCTCTCCTGCCAAAGAAGTCAGACCCACAGATCAGTCCCAGTGAGCCAGTTAACCTTTTCATTCCTGCTGCATAAAAATCTAGTTCAGTTTCTGAATGTTTTCAGAAAATACATGATTACAGTGCATGATTTTATTTTTTATTTTTTTAGCAGAATCTGGTATCTTTACTACATTGCAGAAAAAGTGCCTTTTTAAACTATAGCTGGAACTACTTTTTGCCAAATAGACCATGATGTTATTACCAGTGATTTCTTAAGTTAATTCTGAAGATCTAACTCAATAACAGGCCAAAACACATTTTGGTACAACATTTGGTATTGCCAGGAATGAAAATGTATGTCTTTTATTGTAAAATTATTTGCAAACATTTAAAAAAAAATGACAACTAAACTTGCAGAAACTTCTGATTTACTCTTCTACAGTAGAGTAAATATATATAGGATTTGTTTACAACTGGCTGTTTCAGGGAGGCTGGAAGTATCGCTAAGGACACCAGTTATACTGGTTCCTCATTTTTCTCTCCCCTTCCCTCTGGTGAAAGTTATAGAAGCATAAAGGCACAAACTTCCAGATTCAGAGAGAGTTTAGGTTGTATGTTATTTAACTCAGTGTTGCTGCTGCTGTTCTGTGTTTATGTTGTTGGTGTTTCCTTAATATCTTTGTATTGGAGCACACATGCAAATAAGCATTTCATTACACTTGTGCATAAAACAATAAACTGAGCTGAGCTATACATGAAGCATGCATGCTGCATCCGTAATTAAATCCAGGTTTCAGTTCTTACAGACACATACCTTCTCATGTTGAGGGTGGGATAGTAGTTTCACTTTGGTCTAGGCTGTCATAATCCATGCTTACGTGCCCCTCTCCAGATTCATGCTGGAGACAACCGACAACGGGAACTGTAGTCCAGCGGAGCTCCAGAGGGAGAGCTGATGGAATTCTGGGAGGTGGTGGGGTTGCAGTGCATATCAGCTGAGCAATGCCTCTGAACTGACGATTCTCCTCACGTTCCAGGTAGTGATCAACTACAGGCATTCAGCACACTGTTACTGTACACATGACACAGTAGCCTCAAACCACCACTACCCTTTGAAGCCCATATTGCATGTAAACAAAACCATCTTTGATGTGTAAATCACAGTCAGCTCTTTTTGTGAATCAACACAAACTGATACACAAACCACTCAACTGGAGGTACGAATCAACTTCATTACAAGTAATCCGCACACCCTAGACCCTTTCAAATTGAATATGTTCATGGTCAAATGTGTTGTACAAGCTGTTCGCAGCTTTTGCATTTGCAAAGGAAAAAACTTTGCAACTAAGACTATATTTAAGAAAATAAATTACTGGATGCAAATTATGTTCTGTAATAAAAATCATACAGTCCTCCCATTCCTAAATGTGAAGTTCAATTTGTTTATTGGGTTTTCAGGGGAAACAGAATATTACGTGGTACCATACACAATAATGAACAAATGTGAACAATCATCAAGGTAACACAGACTTGGTACCTAAACAAAGTGTATAAATCCAACAATGAGAGAAAAACAGGGAGGAAGAGAAAGAAACAAGGAAAAGAGAGGTGTGAAAAAAAAACAAAGGTAAAGGAGAAAAAAAATGTAGTGAAAGGAAAGAAGAGGGAAGCCACAGTCTTCAACTTTAATATTTCTCGGTCGCATTGAAAGCTCAGGGAAACCCACATTTTTTTAAGGTGCAGAAAGTACGTTACATCCCTTACCCAGCGAGGGAGGTTTAAATACAGACTTTTCTACCTTTAAACACCTTGATTATGTAGCTAAGGGGTCTTCTCATTTACAATCAGAAATCAGTAACAGACTATTAGTCATTAGCTGCATATTTCATCTTAAATGTCTAACTATAGAATACACATCACAAAAAACCACAGCAAGTGAGCTCTTTGCAACTGATTTAGCACAAAGCAACAGGAACAGACTAACATGTACCTGATCAAAAGTTTTTATCTTCTACTGAGTGTACCCAATAGCAGCATTTAAGAGAGGTTTTTGATTTTAGAGTACGTTTGACCAGGGTAATGATTTTGAAGAGACTGAGACCCTAGAAATCAGAGCCCTGCGATTTTGCAGCCCATTCCTAACCCCTACTGAGAAACTAGATGGATCTAGGAAGGTGAACCGATGACAACCCTGTGACATCTGGCTACTGGAAGCAAAGTTCTTTGAACTATGGGCTCTTTTTTTTTCCACGGAAAATCATGCACTTGGGACTCAGACAGTATTTACCTTTCAACCTGAAAGCTCAGATATAAAAAAAGAGATAAGAAAATAGGACAAGAAGAGACACAACTGAGCTAAGAATAGGAGTTCAACAGCAGGCCTTTAGCTAAAGGAAGATAATATGTCTCTTCCTGGGGGAAGGGGGCAAAAGACAAGATTATTTTCCAGATTCCTAGGGCGTGGGGGGTAGGTATCCTTTGCTCAGCTTTCACATTCCAGCAACTGAGTGCCCAGTCTGAAGAAAAGGAGATGGATCTGATCTGCAGTCTGCTTCTTTTTACATCCGGACACAAGTGAAAAAATGACTGGAATCAAGTGCATTTACAAAGTGCTCCAGCAATTGGTGCCTTTCTAAATATTAAAATCTGCTCAATTTCAATGACCCAAATATAGAGAAGAATGAAAACGCACTTTGACATTAGTTTGCTCATCGTTAAAAAGCAAAGATTAAGATTCTGCTTATCGACAAAAAACCCCAAAGAGAATCTATGCACCTGCTCCAATGTCTGCACATGAATGCAGAAGATTGGAAAATCCTATACTTTACTGGATAAACACAGACTTTCGTATACTGTTCCCATAGGCAAAAAAACGCAGGTTGCTATATAATTAGTCATTCAATGAGAAATACTCTGCTGTACACTGGAGTTGGATATTATCCAGTCCGGCTGCAAATTGATTCATACTGACAACAACAATCAGCAGTTGCAAATAAAAGGGTTTTGCAAATACTGGTGCCCCGAGAGTCAGTAAAGGCACTGCTACTTCCTGGTAAAAACGTATGCAGTATGGCAATTAATTTTAAATGCGTTTTCCTGCATTTAATCAAAGCATGAATGTTCTGATGGTAAGGTATGAAACATTCTTCTGGAACAGCAGAAAGCAAAATATTGATGCTGAACTACTGCAAATTTCCTTCTGAAATATGTTGACTATGCTAAATTTGTGTTGCATCAATAAAAAGTCTGACAACACAGCAATAAGTTAAGAGTTTAGAGTGCAGTAACCCCAAATTTATGCACAGTATTGTATATGTCACACAAATCTGTTTATTCTACAGGAGGCTTCAAAGTTCACGCTTCAAAAGAGTCATCAGATTGGCTTACAGAAAAGATGGGGCTATGTGCTATAAACTGTGAAACAGAAGCCAGGACAGCCCGGGTCACTCAGTCACACAGTGTACCAGGGAGCAGCAAGGTAAATAAGAGAGCTTCCTGGGATTGTCCAAACCTGAGTCCACTCCAGTTCCCAGTCCTTGAGAAGAGCTCGGCACCGGACTGTCAATGTGTTCTGGCTTTCCTGGGAATGGCACTGCCAGTTTGAGAAATAAGCTTGGACTTTGCATTGGCATGCTTGCCAAGTCCTAGTTAGATCCATCTGAACAAAGACAGGAGGGAACATGGTTTCAGCCTTTAATACAACTAATATTCAAATGGCATGGGCACAGCTCACGGGCAGCATAACAGCCTTTTGCTTTCTTTGCTCTGGATGCAGGTACTTGTTATTCACAAGGGTTTTAAGTCAAAAACCCATAATAAAACAACATTATAATGAAAGATTTTGAGTTTTAAATGGAATAATTTCAGGTTCAGTAATAAAGCAAAGATCTATGGTTAACATATCTATAAGAAAATCTTCCTACCACAAGAGTTCAAAACAGATATTGACAACTTAAAACACTGGCGAAGGTTACAGATAAGAGTGATTCAGCCCATCTTGCTTGCTTGGCTACTAACAGATTGATGTCCCTTTCATAAAGGATCCCTTCTGTCAGGCACTGGTTCCAGACTCCCACAATCGTTTGCATAAAGATATTTTTTGTCTTAAATGCCCTAAAACATGATTTCTGCCTGTGGTCCTGGGTCCCTGTGCTGTGACTGTTCTCGAAGGAGCACCATGCTGCCACTGCAGATGACGGATAAAAATCATGCTAACTAAATGATCCTCTTTCTGTGCCGTGTACGCTTGTACAGTATTACATAGCTATGTCCCCAATCTGTTTGCAGAGTAAGTTTTGGTTTAATTGCATGCTGTACTATACCTTCCAAAAAATTGGACTTGATTTTTTTTTTTTGCACCAACAACACCACTGAGAGTTTAAATATGCATAAAGATACTTTCTACTTTGACCATTCCAGTTTTGTTTTTACAAAACACAGCATTCACTTGACAAGGCAAGGTGAGTACCTGGCACATTTGAGACCAATGACACACGGCACTACAAAGAAAAGACTTCTAAGAGCAGAACTTATTTTTTGCCCCACTGATAGGAAGCAAGAGCGTTAGAGAACTGCTGGAGAATTCAGGACACCAAACAGCAGTTTTTCCGATTCACTAGAGCCACAAACGTGTGAGGTAGCATTGCACAGGTGAAGATGATAAACTAGGTTTAAAATTAGACTGCATACTTTTCATGACTTTATACAGACAATTAAAAAACTGGAAAAAAGTCAAAAGCCCCTGTAGTGGCCTAATGCTTCAAGCATCATGTGTAAACAAATGAATCCAGAAACCATTTTTAGAGGCAGCAATTAGCCTGTCACCGTTTCTATATTATGGTATTTGACTTACAAATAAATATAAAACCAACCAAAAAATACACAAACAACATTTGCCAACAGAAAAAATAAATTATACTACAGAACTTGCTTTTTTGTCATTAAAAATAAGGTATAAGTGTGGCACTTCTGGTAGATGTCTGCATTAAATTGTGTTAAATCCTTAGATAAAAGAATTGCATAAACTTTTACAACACAGTTGCAAATTGGCTCCAAACCGCACTTAGATTATGTGGTCTTAATAATAAAAAAAAAACACCTTAATTCCTTTTAAAGCAGAGTTGTCCTCCGGCCCTGATCCTGGAGAGAGATGTGTGAGGTTTTATTATTAACTTAACCGATCAGCTGTTTAATCAGCGGAAGTCAACTTGCTTTGCAGATGTCTGCTCATTGACCTTTTAATGCTACTCATAAAAACAGTCCAGCAGCTTATGTAGGTCTCTTTATGCTGTTAACAATGCAAGAGTTCAGGAAAAGGATTAAGTTAACTCAGTCAAGGCTTAATTGGACCAGTTTAATTCTCCTGTACAGAACAGATGGCTACAGGAGGGCTTGCTGGACTGCTGCCCTCAAGGAGCAGAGCTGGAGAGCCAAAGTCAAGTGTCCTGACTTATGCAAAGCCCAAACTCAACCCCCTTTTTACTGCGTTCCTTCTTGATTTTGTTTTAGTGTAAGGAAAAATAAAAACAGCTCTTCCGGCTTGTCCCATTTCCCGCAGGCTTTCTAGCAGGGCACATCCGATAAAGAAAATGTTCTTTTGAGATTTACAGTACGTGGATCTTAAAATCGTCTTGCCTGAACAGGAACACGGCCAGCGTCCTCCTTTTCCGCACCCAATATAGTTCTTCCCCAGAGGAGCCTGGCATGTTCCTTCAGGAGACGGGTCGGACATGAATGAGCCCCCCACCCCACCTCGTCAGGTGTATTCACACAGGTGCCCACAGCCAGCTGGGCAATGGGAGCTGCTTTTCAGCCAGTTCATGATGTGCTCCAAATGTCCTCCATGACTGCAGCCCTGGCACCACACAAACAGCCCCTTCACTACATGGTGGCACACGGCACAGATGCTGGCACACTGATGGCACCTGGGGAAACACAGCAAGGCGTGAGGACACTGGCGAAACCGGGGGAGATACTGACAGCATGCGAGTGTGTGTGGGCCAAGAGAGCATACAGGGTGGCAGAAGCAGTTCAGTCTCCCAGCTGCGGTGTGAATCCCCTCTCTTCTCCATGCTGCAGACTGTTTCTATTACCACAATGGCACCCACACAGGGGGACCACCTTTTAATAGATCCATTACTGCCTCTTAACAGTGCGATCTACCCTTCTCCGAGAAGGCTGAATGCTAAGGTGGGCGTATTGGTTTACCTGCCCGTAGATACAATCAGCTCCCCCCTATTCAATAATCATGTATCTGGAAACTTCAACCAGGAAAAAGGTCAAAGAAACGAATAAAACAATTTACGGGCGAAGTGTAAATTTGAACCCTGCACGCACCAGTGTTTCTCTAACCTCCCACCCAGACACCTGGCTGCGCTTAAGTATAAAAACTTAGCGTTAAAGACAGTTATGATTAATGACTGTTTATTAACTTTCATGTTAGGTGTTCAAATTAAAAGTGAATTTATACTTAAGTGCCCAGGATTACTTTATTATGTTACCGAACCTTGGTCGGGGGATGATAAAGCATAATATTTTGCCCCTATATTTACATTATTACAGTGCATGACTAAATGTATTTTTTTTTACGTTCTCCTCTGGATACGAGGGAGAGCACTGTGTGCTGGTGCAGGGCAGGGTAGCTCACCTGTCGCAGATCCAGCCCTTGCTGCTCATGGGCCGTTTGCAGTTGCTGCAGTTGATGTGCAGTGTAGTGGAGGCCTGGTTCAGGCAGCTGATGGCGCTGCAGGTGCTGAGCTTGATCACCTCGTTGGCGACGTTCCACAGCTCGAAGCGCTGCAGCAGGTCGATGTAGGAGGCGTACCAGTGCTCCTGGTGGGGTGGAGGGAACAGAGCAGGCAGACAGATCTGTACACACCTTAACCCAACAGAAACTTTTCCTTCACAGGGAGCGATACTGACAGCACTACAGGCGTCAGAAATATAACCACACACTTCGAGAGGCATTCCCAAACTGGCATAGTGACAAACTAAAAGTAACACCGTTCGGCTATTAAAAGAAAATGAAATCACACAGAATCAGACCATTGGAAAAAAGATGACTCTGCAGCTGTGTTCTGAATCTGAGGGTTTCAATAACCTACATCTGCAAAAATTCTGGAGATAATGTGACATTGCCTGTCCTGCACAAAATGAATCATTTCGTTTTAGCTTCTAAACTCTAAATTTACAAGTTTACTTCCCCTTTTATACATTAAAAAAAAAAACTAAATATCCTGCTTGGTCTGCTGTGAATAACACTTAAGTAATAACATGCAAAAATCTGTACATTAAGATCCCCCCTGAAAAGGGACAAACTGCTCCTATAACGAAAGCTTCATAGCAAAGCATCATTCTTAACAATGCTGTGCTGAATCTCCAAGTCATAAAAGTCCAGAGTTCAGTCTTGCGGGTCCAGTTCCTGGTGCCTTTAAAGACCCATTTGCCAAAGAAACAGCTCTTAGAACATAAGAGAGGCTAGATGGTCTGGATGTAACCTGTTTGGGGCTTAGTAGTTAATTTGATCCAAGGATCTCACCCAGCCATTTCCAGTGTATTACCTTCAATAACAAGGAGGTTAACTTGTTCCACAATCCCTCACGTCTTTGTGTAGCGAACTGCCTCCTGTTCTTGATCTTAAAATAAATCTGGTACTTGTTTCACTGTTCCGGGCGGAGCGGTGGCACTGCGGCTAAGGATCTGCGCCTGTGGCTGGAAGCTTGCCGGTTCAAATCCCGCGGCCGGCAGAGGAATCCTACTCTGCTGGCCTCCTGAGCAAGGCCCTTAACCCCAGCTGCTCCAGGGGCGCCGTATAAATGGCTCTGACCCCAAGCTTCTCTCTCCCTGTCTGTATCTCTCATGGAGAGCAAGCTGGGGTATGCGAAAAGACAAACTGTATATGGCCAATAAAGTGATCTAATGATTCTCATTTTTCTCATACTACTTTGCGGAGACGGATGATGGAATTCCAAGACAACCACAGCAATCCTTAAAAAAGCCCCCCAGCCTCCCCCGTGCCGCCTGCCTTGCCTGCGTGAGCTCATCGATCTCCTTGCGGATGCGGTCGCCCAGGACGATGAGCACGGACACGGCCATCTGCACGTCGCCCTGCTCGGCGTAGTACTGCAGCATCTCGCGCACCACGGGGCTGAAGAAGCTCGGCAGCAGGTGGCCGGGGACGAGCGACTGGGAGACGGAGATGAGGGAGAAGGACTCGATCGGCGTCAGGCAGGCGCTCTCCGCCTCGTTCCCGCTCGCGTGCGGCGAGTCCGCCTTGTCCTGCAGGTGCTCCGGGGCCGAGGGGTGGTCCACGATCTCGTGCCGCAGCGGGAAGGCCTCCTGGGGCAGGACGTACTCCGGCTCCTCCGCTGGAGGGGGGGGCCGAGAGGTCGCAGAGAGGTCACAGACACCCGCACGCACCGTTCATAAGGAAAACGGAGAACCGCCTCGATCGGAAAAACAATGAATGGAGTAATCAATCTGAACTCAACGCACTTGTTAGGGATGACTTAAAAAGCTGATTCATACCGAAATTACTGCAGCATCTAGTAGAAAAAAATAATTAGGTATTGGTTGACATAGAAGACTAAAAGATTTCCCTGAAGTTTTGAATCAAAGCACAGCTTCTCTCGAGAAAGGCATCTAAAACGTACCGAAACGAAGAAAAAAACAACTGAAGCAAAAACCGGATCCAGACAGTAAGTCACTTATTTGGCGGGGGCTGCAGCATGCTGGAGAGCCTATCCTGGACAAAGACAGAGCAAGCTGGGACACGCTGGCTCTGACGGCCAACTCCCAGAAGTTACAGAAGTAATTGCTTGCATTTCTGTAGCGTTTCTCATCCAGAAGGATCTCTAGGCCCTTTGACATATAAGACGGGACCCCACTTCATCTGCCACTGAGGTGTCCAGCCACCTGGGTGACGCACAGTGTCTGTTCTGTGCCAGTGGCACCCCTACACAGCGGGCCAGCTGAAAAAGGGAGACTAGCCAGTCGAAACAAGCCAGCATGGTGGAGGTGGAAGGGAAGTCAGAAATTAACCCAGGAGCCTGGAGCTGTGAGGCAGCAGTGCCAACAGCCATTGGTTGATTGATCACTGGAATCAATGATTCGGGCTTGCATTAAAGACTCACCGGCCTGATTGTCGTGCTCCATGGAGTACAGATCGTCATCGTCCAGCTCCGCGTCCCCGAACAGATAGTCGGTCGGGCCCTCGCTTCCCTCTGTCTCCTCGTTCTCTGCAGGGGAAAACACGGGCTGAATATTCAGGTTGGTTAACATGGAGGAGTTAAAATGGAATGGGGTGGGGTGTGCTGGGGGGGCTTCTGTACTGTCTCCTGCGTCGCAACATTTTCTCACAAAGCAGGAGACAGCACAGCATCCCCCTAGTATGTTTAATGTCAGTGTGAAAGCAACAGGGAAAGAGGTCATGAAACTCAAAGAAATCGAATCTAATTTTATAGGAGGGCTATTAAAAATGCAAGTACTCAAGAACTGGGGGTGGGAATTTCAAGAATACGGGGAATCTTGAAAAGTATGACTCATTACAAAGCTGCGATAACCATGGATTGGTGCGCTGTTCATCACGTGCTTGTGAATGAACTCCAGAATGACACCTGTTCTCAAATCGCTTGATTTAGCCCGTGCAGGAGAGAAGCATCTTTCGCCCACTGGAGAAAAAGGAGGCTAACGAAGCCTTGCATTGCGCGATAAAACTTAAATTAGTAACATTTGTAAGAACACGACATCTTGGTGATGCGAGCAGAATAAATAAATCAAATTTCCGTTTGAAAATGCCGACAGGCTCCGACAAAAACCCACTGAGGAGCGGCGCAGCCGGGCCCCTCAGTGGCTCACCTTCATTGTTATTGATCAGGGAGTTTCCCGACTCCATGTGGATGTTGTCCTGCCGGATGTCTCCCTTGCTGCGATCCAGCCTGCTTTCGCTCCCCAGGCCGCCTGCGATCTCCTTGATGTTGAAGCTGAGGAGAGGAGAGGACAGGAAGCACACTGCTGACGAGGGGCAGGGTCCTCTACAAGTTCAGAGAGGGACATCAAACTGCCAGCATAACAAAACACCAACAAGGTTGGGATTTAACCACTTCGCATCCCACTGCGACGGGCCTAGAGCCCTGGGAACATGACCTGCTTTTTCAGGAACGTCCTCTTGGAACAGAGTTTCAGGAGACCTGGTTTAAAAGCCACTTTCCTGCATCCAAGCTACTGATCTGGAAACTCTGGATCGCACACTCCATTAAGGCCCAGGAACAGGAAACTTTTCGGTTACAGGTACACTCTGTGCTGTCAAATTCCTTGCATTCCAATAAAAAACCTCAGAAAAAACTGTAAACGCTTTGTAGCAAACTTAAAGGCTCTGTATATCAGAAACATTTTGTCTTTCTTGGGAGGCGCTGCATGATTTTAGTAAGACAGCAGACATGTGGTATCAAGCATTTATGTACAGTTGCAAGAAAAACGTTTGTGAACCCTTTGGAATTACCTGGATGTCTGCAGTAATTACTCATAAAAAATGTGGTCTGATCTTCAACTAAGTCACAATAAGAGACAAACAATCTGCTTAAACTAATAACAAACAAACAATTGTACTTCTTCTTGTCAATACTGAACACACTGAAACATTCACAGTCTAGGTTGGAAAAAGTATATGAACTTCTAGCTAGTGATGTCTCCAAAAGCTAATTGGAGTTAGGCGTTTTAATCAATGAGATGAGATTGGTGTTGTGGGCTGGAGGTGCCCTGCACTATAAAAAAGACACACAAAGGGGGGTTACTGACTGAGTCTGCTCTTCTCAAGAAAGAGCTGTTCATGTGAACCATGCCCTGATCAAAAGAAATATCAGAAGAACTGTAGAGATGCATAAAGCTGGCAAAGGTTACAAAAGCATTTATAAAGGCCTGGGTGTTCATCAATCCACAGTAAGCTGTTGCTACTCTCCCTAGGAGTGGCCGTCCTACAAAGATCACAGCAAGAGTGCAGCGTGCAATGCTGAAGGAGGGGGAAAAGAACCCTAGGGTAACAGCAAAGGACCCGCAGGAATCTCTTGAACTTGCCAAAGTCTCCCTTCATGTGTCCACTATAAGAAAAACACTGAACACGAATGGTGTTAATGAAAGGAGGAAACCACTGCTCTCTAAAAAAAAGACATTGCTGCACGTCTCAAGTTTGCAAGAGACCACCTGGATGGTCCACAATGCTTAGGGACAATGTGCTGTAGAAGGATGAGACAAAAGTTGAACTCTTTCGCAGAAACGCGCAAAGCTATGTTTAGAGGGAAAAAAAGCACTGCACACCGACACCAAAACCTCATCCCAACCGTGAAGCATGGTGGAGAGAGCATCATGGTTTGGGGTTGCTTTGCTGCCTTAGGGCCTGGACAGCTTGCTATCATAGAGGGAACAATGATACAATTAAAAAAATTGTATCAAGAAATTTTACAGGAGAATGTCAGGGTGGCTGTCTGTCACCTGAAGCTTAATAGAAGTTGGGTGACGCAATAAGACAATGACCCGAAGCACAGGAGTAAATCAACAAGATTCGTGTTCTGGAATGGCCAAGTCAGAGTCCAGACCTCAACCCAATTGAGATGCTGTGGCACGACCTGAGGAGAGCTGTTCACGCAAGGAATCCCAGAATTCCCAGGAATCCCTGAAATATCAAGGAACTGAAACAGTTTTGTCAGGAGGACTGGTCTAAAATTCCTCCTAACCGAAGTCTCATCAACAGCTACAGGAAAAAGGTGGAGGTTACTGCTACTAAAGGAGGGTCTACCAGTTATAAAATAAAAGGGTTCACATACTTTTTCCAGCCTGGACTGTGAATGTTTAAACGATATGTTCAGTACTGACAAGAAGAAGTACAATTGTTTGTGTGTTATTAGTTTAAGCAGATTGTGTTTATTATTGTGACTTAGTTGAAGATCAGACCACATTTTTATGAGTAATTAATGCAGAAATCCAGGTAATGACAAAGGGTTCACAAACTTTTTCTTGCAACTGTATCAGCCACCAAAACGGATTTCTTCTGCAACATCACAAGGATACCCGACAGTCAACAAAACAAAAGGCGGAATTCACTTGACTTTCCGAAAAAATAAAAGAGGAGTTTAAGAACCTCAATCCAGGACAACAGAAATATGCTTTTTAGAGTCACATCTTCTGCATTTACTTTGATAGAGTATTCATTTAAATTAAAGCAACTGCTGTAGTAGTTTTAATGTATTCTGACTTGTGTGTGTCCTCTAAGCACAATAGTGAAATTAACATAAATAAAAGGCAAAGGAGCCTAAAGGGTGAATCAATTATGTACCGTATACCTTAACCTTCTTCAACACCCACAGCAGAATGAGGAATCAGCCGGCCCAGCCAATAAATAACCTTATCAGCTCTTTTAAAAGATACCGGGCTTGACTTCAGCTCTGGACTCCACTTTAGAAGGCCATCCTGTATTGTGTATTATTTATTTTACACTGAATCAAAGCCACTGTGCTTAATTTAAATATAGTTTTATTGTATTTATTTTGTTGTTGTTCGTTTGAAACACAGTCCTCTGGCTTTCACTGATGCAAAGATTGTTCACACAGTCAGTAACAAATGCCAAAAAAGACTCCAGTATTTTTGTAGCTCTTCTGGTGTTCCACAGTAACCCTAATGGGGGACTTTTAATTGCCATAGACTATGGACCGTAATTACAGCACCTGAGACTCAAAAGATGTGTAAACTCTTGCCAGGTGGTATTTGTTTGACTGTGGTCAGAGCTTAACCCACTATCTTATCTATCAACACGTAATAAGAATAATCTCAAATAACATCATGCTTATTGTTGTCTCTGCCTTTGACACACAAAAACATAACCAAAGACTCTATTCTCCCAGTCCTACCTGTTCATTAATGGTAAGGCGCCCAGTTTGCTCATGTTATGATTCAGAGCTGAAGCAGTGGGGTTTCCTGGATCAGAAAACATAATCCTTAACATCGCCCACGTGGTAGAAACCTTAAAAAAAATAAAACTTGTTAAGTATGGTTTAACCTTAAAAAAAAAAACCCACCCTCCCCATCTTGCCCAAAAAGCTGCAGCTTGATTACTGCTCTCTGTCTCGCTGTTCACACAGGTGGCCCCTGGCTCCACTCCCTGCTCACAGCCCACTGAGGAGCCTCATCCTTCTCCACCACTGCCTCTACCAGGGTGTCCCTCGCCCTGCTGCTCTCCTCCCAGCCCAGCACCCTCTCCGACCCCTGCTGCTGGCCACCTGGCTGTCCCTCCTCCTCCATCTCCTGCTAGTCACTCTCTTGCATGCCTTGTACTGAAGCCTTAGGACCGCGATTCATCGCTGAATCGCTGAATCCCACCATCCACTCTAGGACCGTCTTGGGTCCTGCAAACTGATCTGGTTCTGCTAAGTGCCTCATGACTGCCCTTCCTCCAGCACCCACAGTTTATTAAGAAACTGAAGGACCCCACCATCAGTAAGTACCTGTGACCTGGTTATGAGCTATTTAGCTATACTAGTCTATTAGCAGCCAGAGACTTGCCGTGTAAGCAGGGTGTGGAGATATAGTAAACACAAGAAGCAAATACACTGTGAAAAGTAATCATTCACAGGATGGATGTAAGGACAACCAGAAGACCAGGATTGCAGTTCTCTGGAAATATAAAATAATAAGGAAAAGAAAAACAGGAAAAGCTGCAGAATTTCCCTCAACCAACCCGAAGCTCACCTGAGGTCGCTTCAGCTCCTTGGCCACCTTGGCGTTGTGGTCACACAGCTCCCCGAAGGGCTTCCCGCTCAGCAGGTAGAGCTTGGCCGTCTTCACGAACCAGTCCATGCAGCTGCTGTCCAGGTCCGTCTCGAAAACGGTCAGGGCGCTTGAGACGTGGGCGAACTGCTCGGTGAGGTCCGGCTTCTTGAAGAAGAAGATGGGGTAGCGGCGGTCGCCGCCGGCGAAGGGCTTGCGGTTCGAGTCGCCGCTGATCAGGCTCTCCTTGGCGGCGAAGGCCAGGTCGCCAAACAAGCCGAAACACAGGCCCTCCGGGTTGGCCTTGTTCACCGGCCGGCTGGCATCCTGGAACATGTGCTGGTAGAGGGTGCTGTCCTTGGAGCCCGAGAGCAGGAAGCAGGGGTCGTGGAGGTGGCGCCACACGATCCCCGTGGTGACGTCCTTGTGCTCCTCGAAGGTGGCGAAGGGGATGAAGGGCCGGCGCACGTCCCACACGTAGATGTTGTGATCCACCATCATGGAACAGGTGGCCAAGTGGTACTTGCGCTCGGGCCGCCACTTCACGCGCGCCACCGAAGCGATGGTCTGGACGCAGTAGATCTCCTTGGCCCGGTTTGTGGTCATGTCCCAGACCTTCACCATCTTGTCACGGCCCCCGGTCGCCAGCCAGCCCCTGCGGGAGTGTTAGATCAGTCGGAGACACGCGTGCGCATGAGATAGAGATGCCGATCTGCACAGTCTGCAAAACCCCACAGAAAACAGTAGCTCAAGTTAAACCAACAAATGGTAGGGTAGGAAAATCTCCCATGAGCCACGCAGCACACACCCACGCCACTGTGTCTGCCACACAGCAGCTGGAGTTGGTGCTTTGAGTCAAAGATGCAACTGCTGCAGAGGCGATATCTATGAATTGGCTTCATCACTCTGTTCTCCTCCTCACTGATAGCTGGTGTGTGGTGAGCGTACTGGCGCACTAAGGCTGCCGTCGCATCATCCAGGTGGGGCTGCACACTGGTGGTGGAGGAGATGCCCATTATCTGTAAAGAGCTTTGAGTGGAGTGTCCAGAAAAGTGCTATATAAGTGTAAACAATTATTATAATTATTATTATTATTAAATACCCAGGGCACTTCTCGAAAAGAGTAGGGGTGTTACCCCGAAGTCCTGGACAAATTTCCCCTTGGCCCTTACCAATCATGGCCTCCTAATAATCACCATCTATGAAATGGTTTCATTACCCTGTTCTCCTCCCCACTGATAGCTGATGAGTGAGGAGCGTTCTGGCGCACTATGGCTGCCGTCACATCATCCAGGTGGGGGCTGCACACTGCTGGTGGTGGAGGGGAGTCCCCATTACCTGTAAAGCGCTTTGAGTGGAGTGCCCAGAAAAGTGCTATATACAGTATGTGTAAGGAATTATCACTTTCATCATAATCATCATCATCTGTACTGACCTGTCTTCCGGGTGCCAGTCGCAGCAGAACACGGGCCCGGTGTGAGCGGTAAACATCCGCTCGTAGCGGTCAGGCCTTCGGATGTCCCACAGCTGGACGTTCCCGTTTTCAAAAGATGCAGCGAAAGTGAAATAGTCCCGAATGCTGAACTGGACATCCCTCACACTTTCCGACTGCCCTGAAGAAAACAAATAAACAAAAGCGAGAGATTAACCAAGCAATACTGCCTCAGACTGGTAGATGATTAATAACATTCATTAATATACAGTATAGGCATCCCTTAGACTTCCTACAGTATATATTTGTTGCAACAGTATCTGACAGAGGATATTAACTAGAAGAGTAAGGAACATTTAATAAGAATCAAATTAAATATTTTCTGCCAATTCCACCAATTAAACAGGGTTAGATCAACATCAAATTGTCTTTAAAAAAACACTAAAATTGTTCAGCTTTAACAACTGTGAGAAACTGTCATTACATTTCAATTTATCTTGATGACATATAAGGTTATTTCACCATGTGCTCCCCGAGACCCTACATATTGGTCCCATGTGTGTAAAAAAAAACGGAGAGCTTAGGCGTGGCTTAGGGCGTGGGTTTTTAAGAATACTTGTATATAACTTGTAATACTAGGAGACACGAATGAAAGAAAATCTGGATACCCGACATGAAATGAACCTTACATAGAAAAAATTGAAAACCAGAATCAATTGTCCAAATCCCTACTCTATAGCAAACAATCAAATTGAGAAGGCTTTTCCACCACAGAAACATGAAGGCTGCCGAATGAGCGACTTGTTTCTTCTCCACGGACAAAGCTTTATTAAAGTGCTCGACGATGGCAGACTGTTTAATTGTACACCATCTACTGTTTGTTTGTATGTTGTCTTGATGCACTGTCTGCACTTTGTGTTTTTACACTTGTCTTAACAATCGAGAGACTTTCTGTAAGTAAGAATTCCATTGTACCAGTACATGTACCGGTTACATATGGTGCAAGATGACCAAGGGAAGGGTCATTCATAACAGGTATTTTCGGAATTACCTACTTAAAATACTAGATATGGACCTAAGCAAAATGGCTCCCAAAAAGAATCAGCTGACCCGTATATGGAAAGGGTCTACCCTGAGAAACACTGAGACACAGCTGAGCCGCATCAGGAACCGAAATATACATGCCCCGGAGGCAGTGAACAGGGCGGAAGCTGATAAGGTGAATGCGGTCTGGAGGAAAAGAGAGGAAAGAGGTGTATGTTAAAGATCGGACTAAAGAATAACGGACTACTGAAAGGAGAAAAGGCTTATGGGTTTTGGATTGCGGATAGTGGATAAGGATACATCGCGGATTGGCTTTATCACGGACTTCTAGAACTCGGATCGGATCAGGATTAAGGGAACGGATTACGGACTGGATTTGGAAGACAGTCGGAGGAAGAAACGCCACGAAACTCAGGAAAGAAAAGTGTGGTGTGAGTACTTCTATCATCTACATAAACTTTCCCCCGGAGGCACCACAATGGCAATAAAGTTCAAGTTCAAGTTCAAGTTCAGGGGTACCTGAGAAAGTGCTGACGGACTCCTTCTTGCGCAGGTCGAAACACTTCATGTAGCCATCCTGGGAGCCGCTGAGCAGCATGTAGACCTCGGTGGGGTGGAAGCAGACCTTGTTGACGGTGCGCTTGTGCTCGGTGAAGAGCTGGTCCTGCTTGTTCCGGGAGGGCCGGCCCAGGTTCCAGGTGACCACGGCCCCGTTGGTGGCGGCGGTGGCCAGCAGGTTCTCGTCCATCTGGTGCCACATGACGTCGGCGCAGCTGAAGTTGAGCGAGGGCTTGCGGCCGACGCGCAGGTTCAGCTTCTCCACGAACTGCTCCTCCTCCACCGCGTAGATCTTGAAGATGTTGCGGCCGGCCACCACCACCTGCGCGGCGTCACGGCACACGCTGATGGCGTTGGCGGGGGCGTCCAGGTGGCAGAACATGGTGCGCCCGGTGATAGTGGTGCTGCCCAGAGCCGTGGTCACCCGCGCCATCTTCTCCATGGCCTGCAGAACGGATGACCCAAAGATAACTTCCATGTGTTGTGTCAGCAATGTTACAGACCCCATATCTGCCCGCTGCTTGGATTAAGAAGCACGAAAATGCTCATATATTTCAATCATGGTTCAGGTGTAAACTGTGCAATCATTAGGATTAGGGGTGGAAGGATCGATCGGCTATAGATTGGAATAGTCCGATTTCCATTCTAAATATGTGATCGGCAATCGGCAGATGTTCCTTTCATTTGGCTGATACTGAGAGCCGATCTACGACGCAAAACAGTTGAGCCAAAATTTCGCCATGTGCCTTGGAATGAAAACATGTCATCCGTCTCTCAGTTTTTTTTAAATATCTGACTCTGATCAACCCAATGCTATTTGCAATGTTTGTAAAACTAACGGGTCTTGCGGGGGGGAGCAAAACAAAGAATTTTAACACACCTAACCTGACACAACACTTAAGAACACATCGCCCAAAAGAGTACAGTGGGCATCAAGAAACTTGCAGAGCTAGCAAAGACAGATCTAGCCACACCGGCGTTAAGACAACCGTCAGCGCAGGCGACACTTGAGAGTTCCCAAAAGTACAGCAGCAATAGCCCAAAAAAAAAAAGGAATCATGACCAAAATAATGGCATTTATTGTGCTAGATATTAATAAACCTATTTCAGCTTGTACCATCTTTTGTGTCTTTGACTGGATAATAACACTCCCCCCCACCAAACGCTTTACCCTATTCTATCACCAAAACCTTTATGTTTTGTTGTCCAGTACAAAATACTACTAAACAAAGGATTTAGGAGACACACTTGTAAGACAGAATACAGTAATGTGCATATGTGTGTGTATAATGTCATACATTTGCTGAAGGTACACAAAAGACATTATGGGCATTTTCAAACTAAAACATTTCCTCCAAACTTCAACCCTTCCATTGCTAAAACATTTAACTTCCTTCCTCATTTGGAAGTGCAGGCATATGTGTGTGTTTCATTCTCAATCTTTCAGTGCATTTACCAAGTTTCGACCATGCATGGTGGAGTTTGTCAATATAGAGCCGAAGTCTCCAAGCCTGGCCCTGGGGAGCCCCAGTCTAGCAGCATTTATAGGTCACCATCAGACTTTCTATTTCTAAAGACCTGGAGCAACTGCAACTATTATGAATTAAATGGGAGATTTGCTAAACAAAGTCATTTGAAGATCATAAGGAAGAAAAATCCCTGAAGAAGAGTTTCCTTAATTGACCAAATATACCGATTAGAACAAGTAACAGGTTTATTCCATGCTGAAAAAAAGAAGAAAGAAAACACAACGTTTCAGCCGTGGAGCCTTCTTCAGGTGTGTGAAGGCTCCACGGCCGAAACGTTGCGTTTTCTTTCTCTTTTCAGCAGGGAATAAACCTATTACTTGTTCCTTTGCAGCCGACATATGCTGACGCAGCCACCCACCTGAACAAATATACTGATTTACTCACAAATTTTCCAAAACTTTAAAAAGATGGTGCTCTCAGGTGGTCTATGACGAACTTGACATGGGTTAAAAGAAACTCTGACGTAGAGTGGCAACTTTTTGCTCTTTGAATCTTTGAGTAATACTTTGTTGAATTCGTCAGTAGATGGCATTACAGTTGTACAAACATGGGTTAACAACCCAATACGAAGGATGAGAAAAAATATGATCAGAAAAATCCTAGCCCATTGAAGAAGAATGATAAGGAAGCATGCGTTTTGGTTGCCATCTGTATAAACCTTGTCACACCTGACCTAATTCAGCACATTTCCATACTGGTCCAAAGTAGTTTTATAACCAACACAAGTACACCAGTGCGGATACACTATTTTCCTCATCTTATATGATCTGCACCAGTCATCAGTATATTAGTTTTTCCATTCTGATTGTTCACCTGAAGTGTGTCGCTTCCTAATGTTTTGTTTTTGCTTCCATCAAGAAAGTGAGTATGCTATTTATATAAGATAATAAACTGGCAAAAAGATGGAAAGACAATAGTTGCTCGTAATTAGCAATAGCAAGTTACTATTTTTTAAAAGAGTTACGGTGCTCTTATTTTAAGGGTAAAATAAATGCTGAAAGCAGAATACCTCTTGGTTACAGATTTTAATTTTAGCAACTTTACCAAATGTCATCTAACATTCACTACAGTACCTAAGAGTTCAAACTAATATAAAAATAAATGTTACACAAAAAATATATCTAACCAGCTAATTATTACATTTGTCCTCTTACATTCGAACATAACAAATTAAAGAAGTCAAAAACAAGCTGGTGTATCATTCCCTGTATGTCGAAAACATACCAAAGCAATTTTTCAGCTTTCCGACTGGATCATCAATATTGTCATCTGAACACGCGTCTCACACCTCGGGATGTCGGCCGCTGACCTAAACTCCTTTGCAAAGAAAAGTGTATAAGGTTTTGATTTATGACTCTAGATGGGTCAGAATAATTCCAAAGCACAAACTACAAAACAAGTAAAAACATAACTACAGCAGACCAGAGGAATACGATCCGGAAACACACCTTTCGCTCCGGCGTCGCTTAGTTTAATTGTTGCTGCGAAACGTCATCATGCTGCGTCTGAGCAGACGTTGTGCAAGCAGGGAGCACACACGGGTTTTTGAAAAGTGTGGTTATGCATCCGTTTCTGGGAAGCGCCAGGAGACCACATTGGAAATTGTCTACAGTGCTGCAGGTCTTCTCTTACAAAGGTGCACTTTGCACTCCCGTTATAATCAATTCACACAGAGGATCTGTTGACTAGTAGATCTTCATTTAATATTTCAGCATCGTATTATTTAGAATAATTATCGACTTATAAAGTTAAAAGTGTTTTTTATATTGATATCGCGGTGGGTGATAGGGGTCAT